AACATTGCTACAGTGGTCAAATAAGCATGTCTGAAAATGACACAGGAAATGAGGAAACTCGCATGGGTTCATTTTATTTTTCACTCATCTTCTTAAGTGGAAATGAGCATTGACCCCTAGCCCCTGGTTAAGCAGAAATAAAGACTTAAAGGAAAGCACGCAACCAGTCCTGTGAAAATCGGGTCTTTGGCAGCAAGGAACCATACTGTTTCTCCGTTACCTCAGGGTTCTGCCCCTTTGAGAGCACCTCCTTCCAAGGGCTGTGGTAAGGATAATAATAAGATCTACCATTTTTGTTGAGCACTGACTATAGTCCAGACATAGTGCTAAACGCTTTCATACAGTATCTCAATTCATCCCCATAACAACTCAATGAGGTATTAGCGTCGTGCCCATTTTACAGATGAGGAAACTGAGACTTGAGGATAAGTAATTGACTCAAACAAGGTTACATGGCTAGGAAGTGGCCAGATTGGGATTCAAATGCTGGTCCAGCTGATTCCAGAGTTGGTGCTCCTAATGCTTCTATCATAACAGATGAAGGGGTTATTAAATATTTTGAGAAGTATAAAATACCATATATACACGCAAGGGGTGGGTCTCCTTACTTAGCGCTCCTCATTGTATTCAAGTGAATTCAGGGAGGTGCATTTTGTCCCTCCTGAAATTCAGCCAGTACTGTCAGTTTTATAAATTGCTTTCGGTGAGTCTCAGCTTATCGGCAGAAATGATCAAATGTAAATTTGCCGAGCTATTTCCCTAAAGCTGTCTCCTGGTGGAAGCGGTGGCTAAATCTTAATTAAGTACAATATTTCCATTAAGGTCTAAAAGCTCACTTTTATTCCTCTGCCTTATGCCCAGTGACAAAGCACTTTGTTACACAATCTTCTAGAAAGATGAGCCATCTTTCCTGTGCTAAGCAAGATGTCTATGAGGCAGTTGGCTTTGGGAAGTGTCCTCCCTAAATCCTGACTGCTGTTTCCAACCACTCATGGGCCCTCAAGGCCTTTTGGAGCCTGAAGACCACGGAATGACATGATGAGGATTCCGCTGACCCCAAACTTCAAGACTGCTGCCTTGTACTATGGTTTCATGGTGATTCATCTTTCCCATTCAAATGAAATTACCTCAGGGGCAGAGTTTGTGCCTCTCACCCATTTGAATTTCCCTCTGGGCCTTGTACTATGTGTGGCCCACAGAAGGTCCTCAATGTGAGCTGGTAATGCCATTGGAATCCTGGGATTGAGGGAGAGAGGCACCGGATCTGTCCTGACCACGTGTTGCTGCCCACCCACCCCGTTTAGTTTCTTAATCGAGTTTCTCAAGTAGTTGCCCTGGGCCCGGCATTGTGTTAGGCACTGAGCATCCAAGATAAGTAAGGTGGTGTGGTCTCAGCTATCAAAGAAGTTCTCGATCTAATGATGGGTGTACAAGGGGTGGGCTGGAGAAGTGGTATCCCAGAGTATAGGCTCTTCCCCATGGTGTGCTGGAACCCATATCCAATGGCAGCTTGGTTATATTTTGAAGTGTTTTTACTCCAGGGAGACTCCAGCAGGGGCAGCCATGGACTACGGAGACTCCTACAAGGTGCTCTTGGGGCCTAGGGTGGCACATGGCCCTGGCACCAGGCTCCTGATCTATTGGTTCACTCCGGGGTTTTTTTTTTTTTTCACCCTCTGCAGGGAAATCTACAGTCTGTCTGGAGTGCAAGGAAGTTTCTTCAGCTTGTCTTTACCCACGCCTACTGAGAAATCTCCTCTGTTAACTTGTTAGTAACAGCTGCTGAAATTCCAGTGGGGTCTATATGTGCTCGTGCACACTCACAATAGGAATATGTTTTATCATCCAGCTAGCTCATTGGCCTTTTCTTTCTCTTTCTTTCTTGAATACCATGGTCCAGGGTTAACAGGGGAAGGGTAGACCTGGCTGGATGAGAGGTACCTGCTGGAAGCAGGACTGCCCTTTCCACGTGTCTAATCAGCAGGCAATTCCAGATCATAAACATAAAACCAAAGACACACTTTCACATAGGAAACCATTATGAGTGCATAAAGAAACGCATGCTTCACCTCCCCCTGCCCTTGGGAGAGAAATGAGGTGGCAAGTTAAGCCATAAACTTCCAAAAGATAAACAAACCGTTGAAACCCTAACCTCTCTGGAAAGGAGTGGCTAAGGTTCTGCCTATTAGAGGTGATTTCTGCAAAAGGAAACTATGGTGAAAGGATGTAAAACTTGACCTGAGGGTTTGAGCAGCTTCTTTTTAATCCTAGACATAAATCTCACTCCTTTCTGCTAGAAAGATCCAGTCCCATTGGCACCTGGCTGAGAGCAACACCCTTCCTTTTAGCCAGAGGTGAGAAGAGAACTAGTGGCAAATAGGGGGGAAAAAAAGTGACAGCTGTGACTACGAACTACTGCCTGTAATTGGGTGTGTTACAATGTGTGTGTGCGTGTGTGTGTGAAGTGAGAAAGTGTGTGAATGTGATAGTATCAGTGCAGGGGTATGTATAAGAGTTTGGGAAAGTATTACATGGGTGTGTACGTGACAGCGTGAGTCATTACTAGTACTATTGTGAATCTGTGTCAAAATGAGTGTTGCCATGGGTAAGTGTGATTACGTGTGAATGTGACACGGTTAGAGTGACTGTATCAGTGCTGAATATATGAGTGGAAGGGTGTAATTCGGAGTGTACAAAGATAGAAGAGTTTAAATGGGTGAGATTGTGTTTATGGTGTGAGCATGTATAAATGTGAACATATGAACATGTAGGCACACGTGTGTGTCCGTGACTTACGAGCTGTGTAAACATGTAACTGTGAGGAGGAAATAGTGGTGTCAGTGCAAATGTGTTGGAGTGTATGAAATTGAGCGTGTGTATGACCATGTGAGAAACAGGCAGGGGAAAGTCAACCTATGTCTGCGTACGGAGTGTGTGTAATTGTGTAGCAATTTGAGGGAGGGTTAAGGGTGACTGCATCATCTGAGTGGAAGTGAGTGTGTAGGTATGACTGGGAGAGTGTGAGAACATAAGAAGGAACGTAAAGAGTGTGTGAGAACGTGAGGGTGGGTGTATGATAAGTGTGGGCGTGTGTCAGTACGGAACTGTGAATACAGAGACGTGACTGTGTATCAGTGTGTGTCAGTATGAATGTACCTGTATATAGTGTGTTCAGAAATATGACGGTGTGTGAGGGCGAGGGGGTAAGAGTGATCATCACTATGAATGTGTCCAGTGTGAACAGTGAGCGTGAGTCAAGGAGGTAAATGTGATCGTGTGAACGTACAAGGGTATGAGTATGTGCTTGTGAGAGAGTGTGTGTGTGAGCGCCGGAGGGTACCAAAATTATCTGGGATGCTGAGAAACCCTCCAGAAGTGTCTTTCCTCCCAAAGTCACTACATGTGTCCAGTTACACGCAAGCACCTTAGCCCCTCTCAACCTCTATCTCCTCATGGGTAAAACAGGGATGATAAAAATACCTACCTCGAACTAGTATCACTTTTATAATCAGAAACAAAAACAGCAACGATCAGAAAAAAATTTCTACCTTGCAGAGTTACTGTAGGATCAAACGGTCTCATGCAAGTAAAATGCCTAGCACAGTGCTGGCAACAGCGGACAATAAATACAAGTTATTATTGTGGCTGTCATGGAACACCCAGGAGAGACCCAGGGGCTTGCTTATTTTAGCCAGTTCTAGTTACCTTCTGTTGCTCAAGCTCTATAGAGGATCCCCTGCCAGAGCATCTCTGGAAAGCTGAATGCATCAATATCGGCAAGGCTGTAATTTCATACCTTCAATTTCACGGCCAAAACTCTGGAGCTTCCCCTCCATGAGATGGCATCACAGAAGCACCTGCCACTGAGCCGCAGTTTTCCTTTGTCCTGCAGGCCCAGGACAGGCTCAGTGTGAAAGGAAACTGCATTGTATATTCCTTGTTTGTTTTTTGTTTAGGTCTCTTTGTTTTTCTTGTTGGGTCTTTTTTTAAATGTTGGTTGTTTGGTTTTGACTTCGGCAATATGAGAGATGTCTCAGCAACCGACAAAAAGACAGAAGACCAGACAGGGAGACAGAGGGACGGTAAGATACAGATAGCTGGACAGCAGCATATAGCCACAGAAGGCCAGACAGAGACGACAACAGAGGAAGCTATCATGGCTGCCTGAGAGGAAAAGAGACAGGTAGAGGATCAGAGAGGCAGGCCAAGAAACCTGAAAGGAATGGACAGGAAGAGAGAGAGGCCCAAATGGGAAAGCTGTTAGGGAACTGCCAGACACTTGAGAGAGACTAGAGACCTGTGAAATCTGGTCCCTACTCCTGAAGACCTTACACAGTCCAGTTTACCTGCCAAGATGAAGACTCCAGAAATCATGCAAGAATTAGTTAAGGCAGCAGAGAAACAAGGGCTACGCTACATGCTACCGACTCGGGCGTCGTTGGAGAGCTGGGGGAGGAAATGCTCCCTGGTTGGGTGGTAAAACAGAGGGAATGTTCTGGAAGGTTTAAGTTAAGCCTGCCAGGCCCAGAAGCTGGGATGGATGGGATGGGGGTACACTTTGAATAGGAAGGTAAAGTTAAGGTTATGGGGCAGTAGAAATTACAGGAACCAATTGGTGAATTTGGGGCATGTGGCTGAAATGCCACTTCAATATCAGGAAAGCAAGAGGAAAGGAAATGACAGCTTGACGGGAAGCATGTCTGTGTTACACGAAAGCTCTTAGATGGAGCTTGACATTTGCAGAGGACTTGGCAATGACTGGTAGGTTGTTTCTCCTGCTCACTCCAGGATGTAGGTCAAGGTTGTCAATCCCATATTAGAGATGGGGGAACCAAGAGACCGAGCGCCGCTGCACAGTCCCCCAGAAAGTATGGGCTGTGCCCCGAGGCCTGGCTGGTGAGGCCCAGGCAGGGTCTTTGACATAGGGAGCTCTGGTGGAAAGGTGGCATTTACCTGGATTTGGAGAGCCCTAACTCCCTGCCCTGGAATCCATTACTCACCTCACACAGCCACCGCTGCAGGACCTCAGCACAGGTGGGTGCTGCCCATGAGAAGGGGCCGGGCTGCCTTCAGCTCCGACGGGCTCAGTGCTGGGCACACCAGCTGCCACAAGATGCAAGGACTCAGCTGCTCTTTCTTGGGGGAAACCTGCCGAGAGAAGCATTGTGGGGGGGCGGGAACCTCCTTCCCCACCTGCTACTACTCCATGCAACCCCCCAAATATCACACACACACACACACACACACACACACACACACACACTACAGAAAATCCCTTAAGAAGGTAGATAATCAGAGTCAAGAAGTGTAAAAAAAAGCCTCGGTACATGGGAGTCCGGAAAGGGCACTGAGCTGGGGGTTTCAAGCTGAAAACTGCTAGCACTTCACCACTCTGCATCTGCTTGCTGTTGAGTGGAAAAGACCTGCCCTAGTCACCCTGGACAAGTGCCGAGAGCACACAATCAAATGACAGACGTGAAATACCTGCATATTTACAGGAGGTGGTACAGTCCGGTGGACAGGAGGAAACTGCGAGATGGTGGCAAACCCTCACCCCCAAGTCTCCACCACCATTTCCATTTCCCTCCTCAACAACCTCCTTCACTGGGTTGGTGGGCAGGCTTGGGGGAGCACTCTGAGGTCCCCTAATTTGCTATCATCTCACAGCTGCTGAGGGCCTCAGCCTCTGATCCTAATTGGAACTTTCCTCTACCTTCCGCCAATACCTGCCACAGGGATGTCTTCCGTAGTCTTCCCCAGATTTTCGGGGTGAATACATACTGGGGTTTTTAGGGGGTTACAATTTCCCCTATCTTCCCCAGAAAGGTTTCCATGTCCAACCACAAAGGAGACAGGGTCCCCCCCCTTTTTTTTTTTTGCGGTACGCGGGCCTCTCACTGGTGTGGCCTCTCCCGTTGCAGAGCACATGCTCCGGACGCGCAGGCTCAGCGGCCATGGTTCACGGGCCCAGCTGCTCCGCGGCATGTGGGATCTTCCCGGACCGGGGCACGAACCTGTGTCCCCTGCATCGGCAGGTGGACTCTCAACCACTGTGCCACCAGGGAAGCCCAGACAGGGTCCCTTTAACCCTTCCCTTTCCTGCCTTTCCCCACAATCAGTTGAGCCTCTCAAGGAGGAGACTGATATTCCCTTGATAGGACCCCAAGCCTTGCAATCCTTCCTTCCTTGCCCCCTCTTTCCTCCATAGACTTTGTCCTCAAAGAAGAGCAGCACCTATGGGCTAACTTCCAATAGAGTCAGATCCAGGCTCGCACATGCTCTATTAGGGGATTCCAGAACACAGAGGGTCCTAATCCAAAGACATGGATGGATGGATGGGTAGCTACAGCTGGAGAGAGTAAAACTGAAGCCTCAGGGAGCCAGGAAAAGCCCGTTCTTCCCAATTCCCCTTTCTAGAAGAAAAAGACCATGCCATCCTCCGGGTCTGCCAAGTTGCTGCTGGCAAGCCTCCAGAGCACGTCTGGACCCCCCAGGGCCCTGGCATCCCCTGCGAGCGTCCCACATGCACACTCCAAGCAGCCTTTCCAAATGCTACCCATTGCACCGCTGAGTGGTGTGCCACCCCCGCCCCCAAGGCATGAGCTCATCCTGCAAGGGCGTGGGGGGGGAGGTGAGGGAGGGAGGGCTGCCGTAGCTCCAGAGAGGGCGGGACTTGGAGAGGGCCCAAGAAGAAGGGCCGCAGGAAGGCCCCTGCGCATCCCCAGGTGGGGAGCGGCACCAGAGGACCTGGGGGAGTGGGGTGCTAGTGCACCAGCCAGTACTAACCAAGCAGCTCCAGGTTTCTGTGCAAGGTCAAGAGCTTTCCTTGACGTACCTCCACTTCCCCTCAGCTGCTTATTGCTTCCACAGCAGCCCGCTTTGAACCCACCAGCTGCACAGCTGGAGCCAATGCAGAAGCAACGGGCAGGACACGGAGCTCCACCTGGCGGCCGCACTCCTGTCACCCGTCTGGGGGTATGCTGTGGTGGGAGCGCGGGCATGTCTGTGTATTTGCGTGCCTGCACCGTGTCGTGCGTGTGCAGCCGTGTCTATATTGGTGTTGTGCATGTGTATCATGGCAGTACCGTATTGCGTATGTGTGCCGTGGGTCTGCAGTGTGTTACATGTGTATTCCATCTATCCCGTGCTTGGGGAGCCTGTATCTCATCTATATTGTGTGTCATATGTCTACGCCACGTTGTGTGTCTGTATCTTCTCTGTGTTTATACTGCCCGTGTATGCACCTGTGGCTTAGCCTCCTACTGGAGGCTGGGGTAGAGATCAGTGCACCCCTCGTGCGCCTACCAGCACCCCAGCCTTGCTACATTCCGGCTTCCTGCCAGCATCTATCTGGGGACTAGGGCTGCCACCTCTTTGGTAGGGGAGGGGATCTGTGATCAACCATTCTCTCCACCACAGAGACTACCTGTCCCAGCACTAAAGAAAGCTGGGAATGTTCCAGAACCTTTTTCAGGCCCAAAGAAGGAAACGGCACTGGGGGTGAAATGGCTCCCTCTCTCAACTCCCAGCCCCAGATGGGCCTACAGGAAGTTGCAGCCACCTGAGTTTCAAAGTTGGAAGGACTGGAGCCCTTCTCCACAGGAAGGAGCTGCGGCACAGGGGGTTAAGCTCTGACCTTGGAGCTGGGCCACGGGATGTATCCGGAGCTCTGCCAAAGGTGTCCCCGTTGAGGTCACTAGAGGGCGCGATTGTGCTGATTGTTAGGGGTAATGTCTCTAGAAAGTACAGAATTCCAAAACTTCCCCCTGGCTCAGAGAGGGAAGGGGTTGAGGAAGACAGAAGGAAAAGGATACAGACCCTAAGCAGGGCCTTTCCTTCACCCTCACCCCAAGCCCTTCTGTTTTGAGGCTGAGTTAGGGAGTCAGGGCCACTAACGCATGTCCGCCCCCCTCCAGGGTGTAAGATCTGTGTAAGAGCCCCATGGCGCTTTTCAGGGCCTTGGTTACAGGGGCAGATTCTCCACTTGCGCATCTCTTTTCCTCCCTGTTCCCATTCCCATGAAATAAAAGTAAGGCCACCCTGCTGAAAGAGATGAAATGTGTGTAGTGGTTGTGGGTTTGTTTTGTACAGTTTTCCTCCAAATTAGAGGCACGCCAAAAAGTATGATTTAAAAGGGGTAAATGGGGGGGGGGGCTCTCCTTTAGTGAATCTGTTTTTCATTACCAAGAATAAATGGACCCACTTCCTAAAATGTCACCACCATCTTAGAAACCACCTAGTCCAAACCCATCATTTGAAAGACAAGGAAATTGAGGCCCAGAGAGGGGCAGAAACACTCAGACCAGAACACTGGCTTCTGGACTCCCAAGGTTGGTTCCACCCCAGCTCCTGGTCCTCTAGTCCCTAAAAAATCTTCCTTCTCCAAATCCAGGACCCTCCCACCTCAGGGCAAAACCCTGGCCTCCATCTCCACTGTGTGGGCTCCAACACCGTCCTATTCCATCTCAGTGATCAGGCGCCCAGGCCTTTCCGTGATTTCCATTCCCCACCAGGAGACTGTTCATCTCTTTCCAGTCTTCAAGTTCCGCTTCCCCTCATTTTGCTTCGCGCCCGCAGACCCAGCTGTGGCCACGCCATCTTGCCCCTCCTCGCATCCCCCTGGGTGCAGCGCAGATTGCCCCAACCTGCAGATAATTGACCGACTGTGCAAATCAGACACGGATCCATCGCATTGTTTAACGTTTCCAATTAAACTCTGGGTTAGGCTGTATTAGTGACTCCAGTAATCACCGGGGATGTAAATGCAAACGCCTTCCAAAGTCGCGGAGCGCGGGAGGAAGCGACACATTCTGGGAGGAAATGGAAGCAGACTGCCAGACCCGAGGGTTCATCTGGTACCCCTAAATCAGATTTGAAATGTATGGCTGTCACTTGATCCGAGGCCCAGGTTTCACACCTGAAATGGAGGTCTCTGGCCTTGGGCGCACCGCGGCCTGCCCTTTCCCGCCCCCTGTCGGAGAAGCCGCGTAATGCTGAGCTGGCAGCCGAGTTCACCCCAAGGCCCTGCAGAGGGAACTGCCTAGCCTCTGGCCGGTGGCGAGGTTGGGGGACAACAGGGCAGCTGAAGCTTAAGCTGCATCCTAGATGCCTCAGCAGCTTCACTTACCTTCTAGGGCAGTGGTTTTCGCCGTCCCCGGTCTGCACAGGGTCCCGGGGCCCCTGGGAAGGAGGGCTTTCTTTTTGAGCACAGGCAGAGATACCCCCATGCCTGAAGCAGGGGCCCCAGACCTGGCCCTGGACCACCCCAGGTAAAAGCAGTCAACCTACCTGTCTCGGTCAGATTCGAAGCTCCCCCAGTCCGTTCTGGGGCCCTGGCCCCCCACTCCCTTCTCCTTACCCAGGAGGAAGACCCATTTGTAGAGGCTGCTGCTCATCGAGTTTCTTCTTCTTCCCTCGACCAAAGCTACTGGCTCCTGAAGGTTGGGTTTCACCAGTGGGAATGCTATTGATTCCCCAACTACGGAGCAATTGTCCCCCTAAGTCTGGACCGAGCCACAGGTGCCCCAGCCACCCAAACTGCCCCCAGTCCACCAGGGAAATCAGGGCCTTTGGGCTCCTGGTAAGATGATGGCTTTTTTCTTCTCTCTCTCTTTGGCTTTGCTCCTATCTACTCCCCTGACCTTACCTACCTACTCTATCTGATTTCTAGATCTGATTTTTTTTTTTTGGCCTTGGCTATCCACTTTGACTTCACAGTAGCTTAGTCTCTGACTTCATAATAACAGAGTCTCTGATGAGGGCAGCACCTCCCAATCCCCGAAGTTATTCCTCATTTCCGTCTCTTGTCACGTCTGTCTGCTCCCTTCCCCCAAAAGACCTCAGAGCAACCTGTGGGAATGGTCAGCTACTCGGAACGTCCTTAGGGTGTTGTGGCCCCATGCCTGTACCTCTGTCACAGGCCAACCCCCTTTTTCTGTGAGGTCTCTCCTACAAGGTCCCCCCTGGCCTCGAGATTCGCAGCTGTTGGCTTTTACCCGCCCCCCCCCAGTCTCTGGCTATTTTGCCTCCTTCCCGGGGGGAGGAGGCTATGATATTTGTATCCAGAAACAGAGGCTTACATGGCTCTCTCCAAGCCCTGGCCTGTTAATCGCCCATTACCATATTAAGCCCCTTTGCCCAAAGGTGTCCCTGATTAAAGGCCTCAAGAACCAAATGACAGACCTGCCCAATTATAATTTTGCAGATGGCCCAGTGAAAACCACACTGACCTTTACACCTCGGTCATTCCAGAACAGGGCCACAGTGTTGTCACCGACAGGAATGGACTTCCTTCTGTTCCAACACCTCAGACAGCCATACAGTTGGCCTGGATTTGAGTCTGCAAAACCATGAGGGGAGCGAGACTAACATGGCTAAAGGCTTCCCTGCTGAAAACCATGTTTTAAAAATAGCACTGCAACCGCCCCCTTCATGCTTCCCAAAGCCAAGCCACTCACCCTTCTCTCCTTCGCTTCTACAGACCACAGCCCAGAACCCTCAAGTCCAGAGTCTGGCACTGGATTCTGGAAGGTGGGACCAAAAGAACAAGCGGAGCCTCTGGCTCCTTCCCTGCAGGCACCGCCCTCCCATCGCTCCGCACTCCACCCCTCCACAAGCACCGAGGGAAGGAGAACCTGCCAGAGCGAGAAATCAAAAAGGTCCAATCCCTCCCAAAGTGTGGCAGGAATCCTGCCAGAGCAAGAATCGAAAAGGTCCAGTCCCTCCGAAAGTGTGGCAGGAACCTTGCCAGAGCCAGTTCACGAACTGAGGGCAAGGCCCCCTGCAAGCTGACGGGGACAGGGAAGGGGGGCAGTGGACCTGATGACCCTGCTCCCCAAAAACAAAGGCCAACTGAGGGACCCCGGGTTTTCTAGGGACATTACTGCATCATTCTAGTCCTCACAGGAGAAGAAAAGAGTCCTCCTCTGGTTGCCCTACCCCACCAAAAAGGGGGAGGGGGAATATAGAAAAATAAAAGAAAGGGGGGAAAGGCGCCCGCGTAAGAAAATCGTCACTTTTTCTGTTTGCTCCGGTTGGGCTGTTCCCCCTCCCCCGGACTTGCCGGAGCTGCGGCCACACCCCCTCGCCTTGGGGGGGTAGGGGGCTGCCGTCGCTGCTACAGTGGCTGGGGGAGGGAGGCGGGAAGATGGTATAAGACTTACAGCCTGACGTAGCTCCGGGGGCGGATTTAGCCTCAAGCGGCCCAGGCCCCAGTAAGCGAGTCTAGGGCTTGACCCACCGAAGGGGCCCTGGTCCTCCGGGAATGGCCCCGACACACCCACTTGTCCGCGTTCGCAAGCCGAGATCGTGTACACGGTGCGCCGGGTGTCAGGGCTCTGGGGGAGCCACGTAGGGGACTCGAGGCCGGGGCGCCACGACAGCGGGAGGGGGGTCCAGGCAGGCAGAGAATCTGCCCGGCCGGCTAAAAGCAGAGCCCAGCCGCCACCCCCTTCCCCAGAGCAAGCCGGGTGCCACCCATCGCGGGATTTACCTGCCACTGGTCCAGCCACCCCGTCCAGACCTTGCCTCTCCCTCCGAGCGCTCGGGCTGGCTGGCGGGGCTGGGGCGCCACAGCCCCGCGGCCGCAGCCGCAGCCCCGGGCTCGGCCCGCTCCCCACCCTCCCGGCTCTCCTCCCGGCCCCGCACACTCGCTCCGGGCCGGGGAAAGCTGCAGCCCCCCGCGCGAGACCCCAGACGGTCCGCCGCCCACAGCTGCACGCCCGCGGTCGAGCCCTGCTCGGCAACAGCTCCCTCGCCCTGCTCCGCTATGACGTCACCCGGGCTCTGCACCGCGCGGAGGCCAATCAGAGCCGAAGCAGAAAACTAAAATCATCCTGAGTGGGCTACTGGGGACCAATCTTTTGTTTCCAGGCAGGAAGCGCCGGGAAGGAAAAAAAAAATGAAGGGGAGGGAACAGGGAGAGGGAAAGGAAAAGGAGATGGAAACTTCTACACTGTCAGGGTTGTCTAGACAGAGGTGTGGCCCTCGAGAAAGATGCGCACCTGACAGTGGGAGGGGAGGGCGGTTATTGAGTATATCTTCCTCAACTGCCCCCGCAGGAAGACTGGGATTTCAGATACATTTTCAGGGGAGGAAATCTGTCCAGCTACACAAGCACTTTTTACTGGGGGCAAATGGTTTGGATTTGGGACACCACCTGTCAGGCAAGCAGTTTACACCGATGGAGTATCCAGAAACCACAGTAAACTGAGAGGCAGGTATGGCAATGGGGTTCAAAGAGATGGCAATCTAGATAGGAAAACTACCTTTCTGCACATGAAACACACATTTTTAAAACAGCATTATAGGGGCTTCCCTGGTGGCGCAGTGATTAAGAATCCACCTGCCAATGCAGGGGACACTGGTTCGAGCCCTGGTCCGGGAAGATCCCACATGCTGCAGAGCAACTAAGCCTGTGAGCCACAACTACTGAGCCTGCGCTCTGGAGCCCGCGAGCCACAACTACTGAGCCCACGTGCCACAACTACAGAAGCCCGCGTACCTAGAGCCGGTGCTCCGCAACAAGCCACCGCAATGAGAAGCCCACGCACCGCAACAAAGAGTAGCCTCTGCTCACCGCAAACAGAGAAAGCCCACGCACAGCAACGAAGACCCAACGCAGCCAAAAAAATAAAAATAAAAACAGCATTATACAAAAAGAGAATGATTAATCTACTTCAAATACAATATATATGTGTGTATACACACACACACACATATAGTTATATTAACAATTGTTAAGATGTGGCTGTTTCTGTCCATCCTTTCCCTAAAACCTCCCATGGCATATCTTGTCTTTAAGAAAAAGTTCAAATTTTTGCCCATGTTGAAAGCCTTCTAAAATCTAACCTCAAATGTCGTCTCTTGGGCTTCGCTGGTGGCGCACTGATTGAGAGTCCGCCTGCCGATGCAAGGGACACGGGTTCGTGCCCCAGTCCGGAAGATCCCACATGCCGTGGAGTGGCTGGGCCCGTGAGCCATGGCCGCTGGGCCTGCGCGTCCGGAGCCTGTGCTCCTCAAAGGGAGAGGCCACAACAGTGAGAGGCCCGCGTATGGCAAAAAACCCACAAAACTGTTGTCTCTTGCTACTCCAAAATCCAACCGCCCTAGGATTTGGCTAGATTATGTAAATTAGCGTAAACCCCAGCAAGGAGACAGTAAGCTGTCATCAAAAATGACCAAAAATGCAAAATAATAAGTACATTCGAATTATAATGATGTAAAATATGCCTACACACACACACAAAAAATTAGAGATGAACATAAAATTATAATAGTTGGGTTAAAGAAGTAGAATTACTGGTGATTTTTCTTCTTCACTTTCAAACTTCTTTTTATAAAGATAAATGTGTCCTCACACAGTTAAATGGTCAAGATGGGTCATGACCCTCCCCAGTGCACTTCTATCCAATTTTCTCAACACTGCATAATATCCAACAATCATTTTGCTGTAATGTCAACAAAATAAGTTTCAAGACCAAGAGTGAACAAATACATCTGCCAGGGTCCTCTTAGGAAAAGTCACACAACAGGCCTCTAGATTCACCAGAGACGACATCTGTGGAAGTTGGAGATTGGGATTCCTCTTTGGACTAATTCATGTTAAATTCTGATGATATTGGGAATTGGGAAATGAATAATAATGACCCTTCAAGTCTACGACAAAGCAAGAAAGAGGGAGGCAAAGACTAAGTAAACCACGTACTCTTAAGACTTTTTTAAGAATCACTTTGCATTTTACTTTTTATTTTCCTTAATTAAAAAATATATTTATGTATACATGAGTATTACATGAATTTTGCAGAGCTGGGATTTGTGTCTAGATCTGAGTACAAAACCCATGCTCTTTCCAATATGATGTGTGGTATTACTGATTTTGTTAAAATACATATTTGCTTTAAAAAAAATCTGAGTATACCAGCTTGATTTTTTTTTTTAATCAGGCATTTTAAAAAGGCTTTTTTTTTGGTGTGGTTACTGTCTTCTAATGCAAAAACTCCCATCACCCTCCTCCTCAAATCCTTGATTAATAGGTTTAAATCAGGATGGTTCTGCTTCCAGTGATTTTACAGATATCTTTTTTTTTTCTTTTTTTTTGCGGTACGCGGGCCTCTCACTGTTGTGGCCTCTCCCGTTGCGGAGCACAGGCTCCGGACGCGCAGGCTCAGCGTCCATGGCTCACGGGCCCAGCCGCTCCGCGGCATGTGGGATCTTCCCGTATCAGGGCACGAACCTGTGTCCCCTGCATCGGCAGGCGGACTCTCAACCACTGCGCCACCGGGGAAGCCCCAGATATCTTTTAAATTAACTTCGGGGTTAAAAAAAGCGCAACCCATCACACTGATTTTTATTTTTACATCGTGGTAAACGTAATCTAAAAATCACTGATATAAATGAATGTCATTTACTTAGTGTTACATCTCTGATTTGTAAAATGCGCTTCTCTGGGTTATTTTAAACAATAAGAACACTTAAAAAAAAAGAAATAGAAAATATAACTGGATTTTCCTGGCTAATGATCTAACTTGAGTCTTCTAGGCTATTGACTTAAATTGTAATTAAAAGGTATTTGATTTCACTCTAATCCTCCCATATACCTCAGCTATACTTCAGAGCTATTTATGCAATCACCGCACATGGTTATTTAAACATTTCATGCGTGTATTTCTTCTCTCCCTCGTGATTATAGAAACTAGCACGGGGCCAAAATCCTATTAGGTGCTTGACAAGTTAAAGCATAGTGGTATCATAGAAAGAGGACTGGACCTAGGAGCGGGAATCAACACAAAGACTTCAGTCTTCCTGTGAAAAGGTGATAACCTATTTCATTCTTGTTACCATACAGCAGTCTTCACTGCTGCTGGGGTTTGTCCTCCAGGAATATAGGATAACTGCATGGGACCTTGCGGGGAAACTGAAATGTCTTAAAGATTTCATCTGTGTTCATCAACTCCCTTCCCCAAGCTCATTGATTTCAGGATACAACAACACTACCATAATAACCTCTTTTTGTGTGTTTGTTTGTCTTTTGCGGTACGCGGGCCTCTCACTGTTGTGGCCTCTCCCGTTGCGGAGCACAGGCTCCGGACGCGCAGGCTCAGCGGCCATGGCTCACGGGCCCAGCCGCTCCGCGGCACGTGGGATCTTCCCGGACCGGGGCACGAACCCGCGTCCCCTGCATCGGCAGGCGGACTCTCAACCACTGCGCCACCAGGGAAGCCCCATAATAACCTCTTGGCACGTGTATCCTGCTCCTTAGGTTACACACCAGTTTTGTTTCTCCCCGTTTGATCCTCACAATAACCACGACAGTGTACTGTGGCAATTATGATGACCTGCATTTCACAGATGAGTGAATGGAGGTCTGGGGTTGAAAGTAGCCTGTTCAATGCCTCAGAGAGATGGTCCTAGAAATCAGGTCTCCCAACTGTCAGTTCTGTTCCTTCTACCACCCTACATGGCAACTTCAGTTGTATTTCTCCTTTGGCTCCCACCGATCCAGTCAGCCCTTTCAGTCGCAGGAGAAGTGAGATGGGGCTTGTAGCAACAGATGTAAACTAAAACGAATATCTTCAAACTGTTCCAGCCAAATCCCTGCTAAAGGGAACCCACCAGGCAAAAGCAGCCTGGATGTTCTGGCTCCCTCTCCACCCCTGCCTCGAGTCCCAAAGCCAGAAATTATTCCCAGTAGTCGACTCTGGGTCTCTGTGGCTCTCAGTCTTCACAGCTTTTGCTGCAACAGCTGAACTTAAAAAAAATCCTCCCTCCTGCTCTGAATACAAAAGAACCTGCCTTGCCAGCTAGCGCACAAGGCATTGGTTGGGCGCGCGGTGCCCACTCCTCTTTCATCTGGGCCTGCTCACTCTAACCTATTGTCATCACTGTAGTCAGGCCCTACTGGGCTCCTTCCCATCCCTTCCACCTTCTACTCCAGTCATTAGGGGCTCCAGCTGTCCTGAAGGAGGCAACGTGGTGGGTATCCTGCAGGGCAAAGGTCTCATCCCACATCCCTTAAAACCAGAGGCTAGGGAAAGAGGGAAGCCCATGGCTAGGGAAACACCATGCTCGTGGGTCTTCAGAGTTCTGGCCAGCGAATCAGGAGAGCCAGACTGTAGTCTAGCCTCTGGCTAGGAAACCTTGGGCAAGATTCGAATTTCCCTCAGCTTTAAATTTCTCCTTTGAGAAACCTGTCCTGCCTGTCTCCCTGGACTCTTGTATGGAGGCAAATGGCTAATGGAATATGAGTGGTTTAAACAGATTTCAGAGCTACACACCTCCTTAATAGACTGGACGAATCCCCATTTACATATACTCCCTGTATAGTGGAACCTCGGGACTGGGTGGTGGTGGTGGGCACTCCTCACCTTCCCTCACTATAATTAGTGCCCGTTAGAGACCTGCCCTGTAGAATCTACCAGCTTTCAGAAGCCCGCAGCCTCTGCCCTCCTCCCCTCCACGAGGGAGTTAGCGAAAGAAAAGCAGAAGACAATTAAATGCAAGTGGCTGTGGATGAATTAATATGAGAATTAGGAAGTTCCTCTCCTCTGACTTGGTTTTAATTAGCCCCACTTCCATGGTCCTACATATCAAACCATATTATTTAATTGAGCTGATGCTCTGTTTTGCTCCTAAGTGGATCACATTATACATTCCTTCCCCACGCACTCCGATCAGGCACTGCCCGAACCTAAGTCAAACTGCAGAGTGAATTTGGAAAGTTGGTTTCATTGCTGTCTCCATTTTAC